ATGATCCTTGGTATTTGTATGGAGTCAGTTGTAACTTTTCCTTTTTCATTTCTGATTTCAATGATTTGAGTCCTCTCCCTTTTTTACTTTATGAGTGTGGCTAAAGGTTTATCAATTTTGTTTATCTTTTCAAAGAACCAGCTTTTAGTTTTCATTGATCTTTGTGATTGTTTTCTTTGTCTCTATTTCATTAATTTCTGCTCTGATTTTTATGATTTCCTTCCTTCTACTAACTTTAGGTTTTGTTTGTTCTTCCTTCTCTAGTTATTTGAGGTGTAAGGTTAGGTTGTTTGAGTTTTTTCTTATTTCTTGAGATAAGATTGTATTGCTATAAACTTCCCACTTAGACCTGCTTTTGCTGCATCCCATAAGTTTAGGACCAATGTGCTTTTGTTCTCATTTCTCTCTGATTTTCTTCCTTGATTTCTTCAGTGATCCACTGGTTGTTCAGTAGCATATTGTTTAGTTGTCGCATATTTGTGTTTCTTGAGGATGCTTGATATGATGTCAATTTTCTTAAATTTACCAAGGCTTGCCTTGTGGCCCAGCATGTGGTCAGTCCTGGAGAATGTTCCATGTGCACTTGAGAAGAATGTGTAGTCTACTGGTTTTGGATGGAATGGTCTATAAATATCAATTAAGCCCAACCCATCTAAAGTGTCATTTAAAGACTTTGCTTCTTTGTTGATTTTGTGTCTAAATGATATGTACATTTGTGAAAGTGGGCTATTAAAAGTTCCCTACTATTATTGTGTTACTGACAATTTCTCCCTTTATATTTGTTATTATTTGCTTTACATATTGAGGTGCTTCTATGTTGGGTCTATATATATTTGTAATTGTTATATCTTCTTCTTGGATTGGACTCTTTATCATTATGTAATGTCCTTCTTTGTCTCTTATAAAAGTCTTTGTTTTAAAGTCTATTTGGTCTAATATGAGTGTCACTACTCCAACTTTCTTATGATTTCCATTTGTATGAAATACCTTCTCCCATCCCCTTACTTCCAGTCTGTAAGTGTCGATAGGTCTGAGGTGGGTCTTTTGTAGACCACTAAGCCAGTCTTGCTTTTGTATCCACTCAGCCAGTCTATATCTTTTGGTTGGTGAATTTAATCCATTTACATTTAAGGTACTTATTGATATGTATGATCCTGTTACCATTTTGCTAATTGTTTTAGGTTTATTTTTGTAAATCTTTTCCTTCTCTTGTGTTTCCTGCCTAGAGAAGTTCCTTTAGCATTTGTTATTAAACTGGCTTAGTGGTGTTGAATTCTCTTAACTTTTGCTTGTCTGGAAAAAACTTGATTTCTTCATCAAATCTGAATGAGAGTCTAAATGAGTAGAATATTCTTGGTTATAGGTTCTTCTGTTTCATCAATTGGAATAGGTCATGCCATTCCCTTCTAGCTTATAGAGTTTCTGTTGAGAAATCAGCTGACAACATTTTGGGATTTCCCTTGTATGTTACTTATCTTTTTTCCCTTGTTACTTTTAATAATTTACCTTTCTCTTTAATTTTTGTCACTTTGATTACTATGTTTTGGTGTTTTCCTCCTTGGGTTTGTCCTGCCTGGGACTGTCTGTGCTTCCTGGACTTGGTTGACTATATCCTTTCCTATGTTGGGGAAGTTTTCAGCTATTATCTCTTCAAATATTTTCTCAGATCCTTTGTCTCTCTCTTCTCCTTCTGGGACCGTTATAATGCAAATATTGTTGCATTTAATGTTGTCACAGAGATCTCTTATACTGTCTTCATTTCTTTTTGTTCTTTTTTCTATATTCTGTTTTGTAGCATTGTTTTTCATCATTCTGTCTTTCGGGTCACTTATCTGTCTTTCTGCCTCAGTTATTTTGCTATTGATTCCTTCTATTGCATTGTTCATCTCTGTTTGTTTATTCTTTAGTTCTTCTAAGCCTTTGGTAAACATGTGCATCCTCTCCATTCTTTTTCCCAGATCCTGAATCATCGTCACTATCATTATTCAGAATTCTTTTTCTGGGAGGTTGCCTATCTCCACTTCATTTAGTTGTTTTTCTGGGGATTTATCTTATTCCTTCATCTGTGATATAACCCTATTTCTTTTCATTTTAGTTAGCTTTCTGTGATTGTTGTATTAGTTCTGAAGACTGCTTGGATTGTAGTTCTTATTTCTTCTGTCTCCTCTCTGGTGGATGAGGATAAGAGGCTTGTGCAAACTTCCTGATGGGAAGGACTGGCTGTGGGGAAAACTGGATCTTGCTCTGGTCCTGCTTTGTCTTGCTCAGTAAAACTTTAATCCAATTGTCTGCTGATGGATAGGGCTGTGCTCCCTCCCAGTTTGTTATCTGGCCTGAGGTGACCCAGTCCTGGAGTCTACAGGCTCTATTGTAGGGCTATTGGCAACCTCCAAGAGAATCTACACTGAGACATATCTCCTAGGAACACTGCTACCAGTTCCCCTGTCCCCATGGTGGGTCTCTGCCAACACACACCTCAGAAGAAGACCCTCAAACATTCACAGGTAGGTCTGGCTCAGTCTCCTGTGGGATCAGTGTTCCTTTCCTTTCAGTCCTGGTGTGCACAAAGTTTTGTTTATGTCTGTAAAGAGTGGTGTCTCTGTTTCCCCGAGTCCTGTCGGGGGTCCTGGAGTCAAATCCCACCGGCCTTCAAAATCAGATTCCCTGGGCATTCCCAGCCCCTTGACTGCATCTCCCGGCTGGGGAGCCTGATGTGGGGCCTAGGACCTTCACAACAGTGCAAGGACTTCTTTGATATCATTGTTCTCTAGGTTGTGGGTCTCCCACCCAGAAGGTATGGGATTTGATTTTATAGTGATTGTGCCCTTCCTACTGTTTTGTTGTGGCTTCTCCTTTGACCTTGGATGTGGGGTATCTCTTTTTGGTGGGTTCCAGTGTCTTCCTATTGATGGTTGTTCAACAGCCAGCTGCAATTTTGGTGCTCTGGAAGATATAATGGTATGTTCTCACGTGCTTATTGGCCATTCATACATCTTTTTTGGTAAAATATCTATTCAGATTTTTTGCCTGTTTTATAAATTTGGTTATTTGTTGTCTTATTATTGAGTTGTAAGTGTATTTTGAATAAACTCCTTTTTTAGACATATGACATATTTGCAAATATTTTGTCCCATTTCATGGGTTGTCTTTTAGAGCAATAAGTTTTAATTTTGTTGGAGCCCTATTTATCTATTTTTTCCTTTTTTCACTTGTGTCTTTGGTGTTCTAAGATCTTTGCCTAACCCAAGCTTATGCATAGTTTCCTGTCCTATGAACTTTCTATTGTTTGAGCTCTTCCTTTTATGTCTCTGACCCAGTTGGAGTTAACTTTTGTATACAGTATGTTGTAAGGCTCCAGCTCAGTTCTCTGGCATGTGCCTATCCAGTTGTTTCAACACTAGTGATTAGAGGACTAGTCTCTTATAAATTTTTTATCTTGGCATACTTTTCAAAAAATAACTGACAGTAAATGTAACTGTTTATTAACCAGATTCTCAATTCTATCCCATTGAATTTTTTTTTTTTCCTGGCAGTATGGCCCTTTATCGAGAGTCACAGAACAAAACTAGGTCTCTGGAGCCAGGTGCCTCCCAGGTATAGCTTCTGCCACAGGCCTGTCCCTGCAGGAGGAGGCTGGCAACCCGGCCTGAGACACACACTGGGCATACCGATCAGGGGCGCTGGGCCTGGCAGTGGGACCTTCGCACCCCAGCTGCCAGCCCCTCACTTGAGCCGGCAGCATGGTCTCTTCTCCATGGGGGCCTACTCTGAGGGAGCTGTGAGTTTGAAAGATACCCCACAACCAAGGACAAAGGAGAAGCCACAGCAAAATAGTAGGAGGGGTGCAATCACTACAAAATCAAATCCTATACCCGCTGGGTGGGCAGCCCACAAACTGAAGAACAATGATATCAAAGAAGCCCTTGCACTGTTGTGAAGGTCCTAGGCCCCACATCAGGCTCCCCAGCCGGGAGACGCAGCCAAGGGGCTGGGGATGCCCGAGTTGGGGTGGGGGGGAGTGGGTCTCCACTCTATCCCGCTGAACTTTATGTCAGTTCTGTGTCAGCACCACACTTTTGATTATTTTAACTTGGTAGTAATTTTTTTTAATGGGAAATATAATTCCTCCAAGTTTGTTCTTTTCAAGATCGTTTTAGCTTCTAGGTCTCTTACACATCCATATGAATTTAAGGTCAGATTCTAGGGGGCAGCAAGAGGCAGCTGGAATTTTGATAGAGATTACGTTAAATGTATAGATCAATATTTGGAAAATATTGCTATTTTAGTGTTATTAAGGCTTCTAGTCCATAAACATGCAAATTGCCTTGTTTCCAGCGTTGGGATGAAAGCATGCAAACATTCACCATTAAGTGTGATGTTTGACCTTAAGTTTTGAAAGTCAAATCTTTTATCAAGTTGAAGAAGTTTTTGTCATAAGTGGATGTTAGATTTTGCCAAATAATTTTTCTTCATTTATCAAGATGATCATGCAGTTTTTTTCCCATCTATTTTTAAAATATGGTATATTACATTATGATTTCAGATGTTAAGCAAAACCTTACATTCCCAGGATGAATCTCCCTCAGTCATAGCTTATAATCTTTTTTATATGTCCCTAGATTTGGCTTTGCATATATTTTGTTGAGGACTTTTTGTGTTCATATTTATCAAACATTATTGGTTTGTTGTTTTTGTGTGTTGTCTTTGTCTGGCCTTGGTATCAAGAAGTGGCTTCCTGATTCTATAATAGTGGCTTCATAGAATAAGCTGAAAAGGCTTCCCTTCCCTTTTTTTCTGAGGCTTGCAAAAAATACACGTTATTATTTTCTTGGAAGTTTTAGTAGAATTTGCAACTGAAGCTATTTGGGCATAGGTTTAACTTTATGTAAATATTTTCAGTTACCAATTTATTTGTTTGTTATAATTCTATTTAGATTTTGTTTCCATTTTATTCAGTTTTGGTATTCTGTATCTTTATGGGATCTTTTTCTATTTCACAGCTTTTTGATGCTGCAGCTTAACATATGGGCAAGATTGGTTTTCAACTAGTACACTCCCATGCAGTCATAATGGTTATTATTTCCTAAGAGCCAGTACCCTGAGAGAGCTCCTGCCTCTTCTCTAGCCTCGCTACAACTCCCCACCTGTCAGCACCTGAAGGTTAACACCTGGGACAGCGGGGGACATTCAGAATCCAGCTAATTCCAACATCGTTGTCATCTATACAGACTGATTGGTCCCCCTGCTATACCAGTTATTAAATTTTTGAACATCACCTCTTGGAAATGGAAGACCGAGTCCCCACGTCAGACCTCTACTTCCTCTCACTTTGATCTGGTGTTGATCATGTGCTTCAGCATTCTACTGGGCAGGTCTGGCAGAAGGAATAGCATCAGTTGATTGGGTATGTCTGTCTCAGTGTTGTGGGCCAGTGGATTGAGAGATTTGGGAAGTCAATGTGTAGGCCTAGGCTGATTTCTAATGAAAATTTAAATCCCAGCTATGGCTATTAGAAAGAAAAGGAAAGTGACTGATGATAAATGTGTAGCTCAAAGTAAGCGAATTGAAAAATGTGTCTTTGTGCTAAAGGTGTTACTGTATGGTGCCACACATATTGAAAGCAAGGTTGTTACCAAGCCCAAGCTCATTCTGCTCGATGCATGACAGGCTAATAAATCGAGAGACGAGTTGTTGGAGCAAGGAATGATGCCTTTAATCAGAAGGTTAGCAGAAAGAGGAGATGGTAGACTCAAGTCTCGCAAAAACCATCTTATCTCAGTCAGGATTCAGGGTTGTTCCTAAATTATTTTCTGAACATAATCCTGAATTATACAGGGTTGTATATAACAATAGGAAGGGGGAAGGGGCCTTCAGTGGCCCTGAGCGATGGCAGAACAGGGCTGTTAACTGGTTGCTGGTTGACAGTTGCTCACTTGGTTGGGAGAGGGGTCTCACCAGAGTCCCCCAACCCACTGCTGAGTGAGACTATTCTAGCTACCATCTGTCTCAGTGGAGTGTGCAGGCAGGAGCCAGGGAGGGGAAGGCCCCTTATACCTTAGGTCCCGTCTGGGACCACTGCTACAAGCAAGGTCACTGACTGAAACGCTTTCAGAAGGCAGGCAAGTAACATTCCTCATTTCATTGATTCAGAGATGCATCTTTCTTTTGGCATTTAAACATCTTTGAAACTGGAGTGCATGTTACAACTGATGGTAAGTCATAGTTTAATGGCAGTGTCGTTTTTGTCTTATTATAAAATACTAGCATCATAATCAGATGTTTTGAAAATCACATCCTTTTATGTCAGCCATGCACTTTGAAAGAGAGGTATAGATACAAATACTTATTCTTCTACCATGAGAAAAACAACGGAACAGGGGACATGACAAATGGCAGCTACTTTGTTATTTCTCTGTCTAGGAGCCAATAGAGAGAAGTTCAGTTCAGTTCAGTCACTCAGTCATGTCCGACTCTTTGTGACCCCATGGACTGCAGCACACCAGGCTTCCCTGTCCATCACCAACTCCTGGAGCTTGCTTAAACTCATGTCCATCAAGTCAGTGGTGCAATCCATCCACCTCATTCTCTGTTGTCACCTTCTCCTCCTACCTTCAATCTTTCCCAGCATCAGGGTCTTATCTAGTGAGTCAGTTCTTTGCATTAGGTGGCTAAAGTATTAGAGTTTCAGCTTCAAGCATCACTCCTTCCTGTGAGTCAGACACAACTGAGTGACTGAACTGAACTGATGTTCTTTATATTGTCACATATTTTATCTCACGTGGCCCTTACCACAGCCATGTGAGGTACAGAGGCAGGTGTGTTTACCCCTGTTTTATGAATGAGGTTGATGAAGTTGAGTGATGCTCAGTTACTTGTCCTGTGTTGCGCAGCCAGAATCAGAACCCTGGTCTTCTAATAATTTTTGTTTCCCGCTTTATCATCCATCCTTTCATTGATCACAATCTGTAGTAGCAGCAGTCAAATACTTTTGTTTTCTAAACCTAAGAGTTTAGGTTTAGGTAATTTAAAAGTAATCACATTTTTATAATCAGAAAATAGAACATCTTGAGCAAATTTTACCACACTTTCTTTTGTTTAGGGGAGAAAGTGAAAGTGAAGTCATTCAGTTGTGTCCAACTCTGCGACCCCATGGACTGTAGCCTACCAGGCTCCTCAGTCCATGGAATTTTCCAGGCAAGAGTACTGGAGTGGGTTGCCATTTCCTTCTCCAGGGCATCTTCCCAACCCAGGTATTGAACCTGGGTATCCCGCATTGCAGGCAGACGCTTTACCATCTGAGCCACTGGGGAACTTTAAAGGAGGCAGAGATTAAATTTTAAAAGCTATACACATAATATGCCCTGTGGTATTTGCTAGTCTGGGCCTCTGAACCCAGTGGTAAACTTTGAAATTGACTTTCCTTTTTTTCTTTCTTTTGTTCTCAACTTTTGTTTTTTCTCATGCTCTCTCTATTAAATCCTTAAAACAGAAGATACAATCTGAATCTAACCCCGTTTACCCCTTTTTTTTTTCCTTTTTCCTTTCTGGCCAGTTAAAAAATTGAGCCATATTTAAAAATCAGTAGTTTCACATAAAGATCTAGATTTTTGGATTTCTGGCTTCCTTTGAAAACTCCTAACACTCCTGAACACTGGGCCTATGTCACCACAGGAAACATTAGGTGGGGTAGCAGGGGGAAAAGGGAACTGCTCCTGGAGGCAGGATGCACTCTCCAGTTTGCCAGTTGCCATTACTCTCTCAATAGCAGTAGCAGAAAAAATCTACTTCTGCTTTATTGACTACGCCAAAGCCTTTGACTGTGTGGATCACAACAAACTGTGGCAAATTCTTAAAGAGACAGGAATACCAAACCAGCTTACCTGCCTCCTGAGAAATCTGTATGCATGTCAAGAAGCAACAGTTAGAACTAGTCTGTTGTTCTGGTTCCAAATCAGAAAAGGAGTACGTCAAGGCTGTATATTGTCACCCTGCTTATTTAAGTTATATGCAGAGTACATCATGTGAAATGCCAGGCTGGATGAAGCACAAGCTGGAATCAAGATTGCCAGGAAAAATATCAATAACCTCAGACATGCAGGTCACATCACCCTTATTGCAGAACCGCAGCACACCAGGCCTCCCTCTCCATCTCCAACTCCTGGAGTTTACCTAAACCCATATCCATAGAGTCAATGATGCCATCCAACCATCTCCTCCTCTGTCATCCGCTTCACCTCCTGCCCTCAATCTTTCCCAGCATCAGGGTCTTTTCCAGTGAGTCAGCTCTTCACATCAGGTGGCCAAAGTATTGGAGTTTCAGCTTCAACATCAGTTTTCCAATGAACACCCAGGACCGATCTCCTTTAGGATGGACTGGTTGGATCTCCTTGCAGTCCAAGGGACTCT